TTATTAATTATTAACTCATTGTTAATATTAATTAATTATTGTTATTATCATTCTACTTATTTTTTTTTTGTTTAATTCTGACAATAAATTACAGTTACTATTCGTCTAATGTTTTTAAATTTTTATATCGAATTAATAAATTTGCATGCATACTAATTATATGAAAAATCATAAAGAAAACGAAAAATAGCGTGATGATGATAGATTTGAAATTCTTTTCAAATTATACATCGTTCTTTTTTTTTCTTCCATATTCAGGTTTCAATTTTATATCGTAATATTAAAATTATTATAGTTATAATTATTAGAATATTAAAATAACATATGTACTAAAGATTCTTATGATTCTTGTTAGTAATTCAGTTTAATTTCGAGCAAGCGCATCATTTCCACCAATTCAACATGACAATTTCAACTATGTAATGATGCACTTCACCAAAAAAAGATAGTACAAATTAACAAAAATATTTTACTTCTTGATATCATTGAGCAAAATCTGATAGAATTAAATTTGAACTTAACTTTCACTACAGTTTCTTGTCTTTTTTTTTGAAAAATTATATTTAGCAACTTCAAAAAAATAAATAAATAAATAAGAAAAAATCTTTCAATTTTTTCGAACAAAAAGCTGAGATTACTGGAAGAAACAAGGCAAAAAGCACTTTTTTTTTCAACTGCAAATAATTTAAGCCATTTCAAATGTGAAATCATTGACGAAACTCTTAATTGAAAATTTTTTCACATCAAACTTAATTTTTGCATTTATTCATATCCAATAAATATCATCGTATCATCTTATCTTGCGGTACAACAAGAGAAGAAATTCATTTCTCGAACATAGAAAAATGGTAATTTTTGGAAGAAATTATTTTGATAAAATTATTTTAATATCTAACTTTCATTTTACTCATTTGCTCAATTAAATTTTATAGTAATCATGAAGGATGTAAATATTATTATTATTTATGTTGTAATCACAATTGATAATTGTCGCAATCACCGTTTGATAAAATATTTTATAATAATTATCAAGATTAAAATTATTCGAATATAAACAATTTCTTACATACCTGTACAATATCACCAGAAGTTTCATAATTTCTTCCTGCAGCCGAAAATGTACCAAATAATCGTTGATTATTTTGTTTATCACCAGAACGTGATGAAACTAATAAATCGATTGGTCCACCATCAGCAGCTATTGCTGCATCCGGATCAGTAATTATTTGAAATTCACGTACTGGAATACCGTAAACAGATTTTGCGATAATTATCGCTATTGCAAAGAATAAAGTAGGAAATACCGTTTCTTCTGGCACATAAAACATTGAATATTGAAGAAGTTGAAATTGAAATTACACAAATTCACTTTCCTTCCTTTTCTCTGTTTGTTTATTTTCGGGAATTCTGATCCAAATTATTAGCAGAAAGAGAAAGATGGAATATTCACTGAATTAAAATAAATTAGTTGATCGAATCAATAACACTAATACGATCAATTTTTTTTCCTTCTTTTTATTTTGCACAAAAATAGAATATTCCGGATTCTGCTAATAATTTTCAGGAAATTGTCATCTGTAATAGAGTGAAAGTAAATTTAATTCCTATATAAGCATTTTAACCGATCATAAATAATGAAATAATGAATGAAAGTGAATTTAATTTCTGTATAAGCATTAACTGATAATGATGATAACGTACACACACACACACACACACACACACACACACA